ATCTATCTATCTATCTATCTATCTATCTATCTATCTATCTACCTACCCACCCACCTACCTACCTACCTATCATCTCTATCCACCATCTATCTATCTATCATTTATTTTAGGATATCTCTATCATCTCTGTCATCTCTCTCTCTCTCCCTCCCTCTCATCTATCCTCTCTATCATCCATCCATCTATCCATCCATCGATCTATCCATCCATATTTCATGAAGAAGGAAACCGTCATACCATCGTGACTCACTTCCGTTACCGTTTTATTTTATTTTTTAATGGTCAGATTCATTTAAAATATTGTAAACCAGGCCCAGTACCCGTCCAACCAGAACTATTTTTTATTGAAAACACACTAAAAACAAAATTACTGCAAACATTACATTCTTCCTGACGAACGAACGAGAAAGGGCGAAAGAGACATTGGAAAAAGGTCGAGGGTTCCCTTCCTTTTCCTAGGCACAATAATTTGGGAGAAATTACCCTTCTTGCAAAAAAGTTTTTTTTTTAAAAAAAAAACTCACTTTATAAAAAAAAAATGCAGCCACGCAAGGTTGCTGGAAGGGCTTAAATCTATAAAAACTTTACAAAATGTTAAAAAAGCAGGTTTAAAAAAAAAAAAAAAACTTTTAGGAGCACCAGCCTTGAAACAGCCTCTCACAATGGAAGACCGAAAGAGAACCAGAAATAAACACTGATATCCTTTCTATTCTCCTTTCGGAACACAGCATGGAAAGCCAACGGCTGATAAGGGGAGGGGCTAAAAACCCAAACACATTTCCACCAGAATTCAAGGACTGATCCAGCGGTGGGATTCAAATTTTTTAAGCTCTGGTTCTGTGGGTGTGGCTTGGCTTGGTGGGCATGGCTTGTTGGGCATGGCAGGGGAAGGATACTGTAAAACAGGAGTCCACAAACTTGGCAACTTTAAGAGTTGTGGACTTCAACTCCCAGAATTCTTCAACTCATGAAGTTGTGGACTTCAACTCATTACTCTTTAATGCTTGTGGACTTCAACTCCCAGAATTCTTCAACTCATGAAGTTGTGGATTTCAACTCCCAGAATTCTTCAACTCATGAAGTTGTGGACTTCAACTCATTGCTCTTTAATGTTTGTGGACTTCAACACCCAGAATTCTCCAGCCAGCTTTAACTCTTAAAGTTGCCAAGTTTGGAGAGCTCTGCTGTAAAATCTCCATTCCCTCCCCGTTCCTGGGGGAAGGATATACTGCAAAATTCCCATTCCCTCCCCCACCCCACTAACCTGCTTTCCAGCTCCGTTCTCCTGGGCAGGGCAACCAAAGAAGACCCAGCCGATCAGCTGGGACTCGATGGGAGGCGGAGAAGAGATGGGGTTGGTGGGGCCAGTCAGAGGTGGGATTTTCCAGTTCTCTGAACTACTCAAAATTTCTGCTACCAGTTCTGTAGAACCGGTCAGAACCAGCTGAACACCACCTCTGGTCTGATCAGTTAAATCTACAAGCAGCCTCGACTTAAAACAGTTCATTTAGTGACAGGGGTGGGATTCTAACGATTTAGCCCAGTTTGGACGAACTGAATGTTAAATTTGCATCTGGTTCACCCAAACCGGTATTTGAAATGACCGGCTGGCCCCGCCCACCATGCCCCTCTCCTCCCAGAAGTCTCCATGCAGCCCATTTTCAAGGCGGGTAAGTCTGCATGGAGGCTCTCAGGGCGTGAAAAACGGGCTTTCCAGAAGTCCGGAAACGGGCCTGTTTCCGGCTTCCGGAGGGCCTCCAGAGCTGGGGGGGGGACGCCGTTTTTGCCCTCCCGGAGGCCCGAGGGAAGCCTCCGGACTCTGGGGAAGGCAAAAAAACGGCCCTCCCGGAAGTTCCTGTAGGCCACGCCCACCTAGCAACTGAGCAGCTAACTGGTTGCCGGGATTTTTGAATCCCACCCCTGTTTTGTGATTGTTCAAAGTGGTGCGGTGGCCTAGAGGGTGGAGCTCTGGCCTCACAGTCAGGAGGCTGTGAGTTCGATCCTAGGTAGAGGCAGATATTTTTCCCTCTGGGCACGATGAGAATAGATCTGCCGAACAAAACTCTGTACTGGTGACAGGAAGGGCATCTGGCCATTCAAACACTGAGCTCCATTCAGTTGCCCAGACTCCCCCACCCCGATTCAAGGGTTTATGAGGATGATTCAGTGACCGTTCAAAGTTACAACGGCACTGGGGGAAAAAAAAGTGAGGACGATTGTTTTTCACATCGCACAGTTACAGCAGCCTCTCTGGTCACGTGAGCAGAATTCCAATGCTTGGCAACTGGCTCATATTTAGGACGGTCGCGAATGTGTCCCACGGTCAGTGACCCTCTTTGGCGCCCTTCCGACAAGCAAAGTTCCTCCCTGAACAACGGCGGAGATTCACTTTACAACTCAGGAGAAAGGTCATAAAAAGGGGTCCAAATTCACGTAACATCCGTCTCCCTTGGCAACAAAAATCTCGTGGTCGTGGACTTATCGCGTCCTTTTTTTTACAATTCTTTGCTTTGGTTTTTTCTTAAAAAACATCCAGTGCAATCTTTTTCTTTTCTTTCTTTCTTTCTTTCTTTCTTTCTTTCTTTCTTTCTTTCTTTCTTTCTTTCTTTTTCTTTTCTTTCTTTTCTCCCTTCCTTCCTTAAGAACTCAAAAGGCTTTCGAGGAGGATGCGAGCCACGGATGGAACCTCGATGTTTTCCGGGGGACAGGCTGCGTCCTGCTCCGTCGTGGGAGATCCTGTGAGCTGTGCAATGGGTCCAAGAGTCCACGCTGCGCAAGAATGGCAAAGTAATCCCTCGGGGGTTTTGGTGCCGTCCACCTGCCAGAAAGAAGTTGAGGGGGGGGGGGGGGAACCAGAAAACAGTGAGGTTAGGAAGATGACAATGATCTCTACCCACCAGTGTTTGTGGGACGCGGCTCTAAACAGCACCGTCCTCTGACTCTGGAGTAGCTATAGAAGATAATCTTTGTAGTTCAGGGTTGAACTGTGGGGTGGTCGGTGCTCTTTGAGCTTGGTGGTTTTCTTGCAGATGATTCAGGACCCAAACAGGTAACATCATCAGTGCCAGAAGGAAGGGGTTGCTGAAGTGGAGGAGGAGGAGAAAGGGAGGAGGAGGAGAACTATGGGGTCCTTGGTGGTCTCTGAGCTTGGCTATTTTCTTGCAGATGTTTCATGACCCAACTGGGTAACATTCATCAGTGTTAGAAGGGAATGGAGTTATGGAGAAGGAGGAGGAGGAGGAAGAACACGAGGTCCAGGGTTGAAGAAACTGATCCTCTCCATAAGTTTCAGCCAACATTTTTATCCCAGAACAACCATGAACATAAGGAAGTTGAGAAGGGGAGAAAGAAATCCCTTCTTTGGGGCAGCCCCTCAAATACTGGA